AAGCAGCCAAGAATGAGCCATCAAGTCTCAGTGAGATCAAAGCTGCTTGTGACAAGGCTGCGTAAAAAACTCTATCACTCCTCTAGCTGAGTTCTAATCTCCCCACTAATCCCTAGACGAACGTCACTTTCTCATCATGATGGCGCTAAAGCAAGAAAAAATCTCGGCTTTCAATCTCATCTTCTTGGCGAACGCCTGAACGAATAGCTTTCGGCATTTCTAAAAGCACACCGCAACATAGAAAATGAGTCCTTTGAGAGCAATGCGACCGAATGAAAAACTATCGCAATGGCCTTTTGCAGAGAAAAATCTCAAAAGGCTATTAGAGCTCTGACGCTAAGATGAAGTGGGTGGCGGTAAAAGCTAAGACTTTCCAAAATCTCCTCCTACTCCTAGAGCCAGTCAATTGAGAATTATTTCTTTAGTATTTATCCAAATTATTCGAGTGATTTCATTTATTTCATTTCTATAGACCAGCCAAATGTTTGAAGCGAAGCGTTGCAAATATCTCGCGCGCACCTGGAAATTGGGTATAGCAGGTTACTGTAGGGTTACAGTAGATCACTGAAGTGAACGAGAGCTAGTAAAACTCAAAATTAGTTGTGATATTTTCCTTCAATAGATAATGAATTCCAGCTATCGCGCACACAGCTGGACATAGGGTATTGTAAGACTGTAGGGTTACTGTAGGATCACAGTAGCCACGGGAAGCGATCGGCACGCCTGGAGTAAAATTAGATGTTCTACTTCGCTTCAAAAATTTAGACTAATGCAGTATTCGGACGAGAAACTGCAAGTATTTGGGTATGCAGGCGGTCTGGGGTACTATAGGATTATTGTAGGGTTACGGTAGCTACCGCAAGCGATTGACAAGCTTGAGATTGATGGTGAGATTTTCTGTTTCTGCTCACACATGTGAAAAATACTCAAATCTTTGACAAAAAAATGCAAGTATTTCGCGCGTGCAGCTGAATATGGGGTACTGTAAGACTACCGTAGGATTACTGTAGGACAGAGAACGACCGGAACCAATTGAAACGCCTGAAACTGAAGCACCCTATAACTCAATCAATGGAACTGCTTACTTGCCAGTGGAAACCACTGCATTACCTGCGCGGGTTACTTTACAGGACCAGCTTGATTGTTCCATAGAAATTTTTCAAAAAATAGAAATCTCTGAAGTTTTGGATTCTAAAAAATGGCTGCGAGCATTTCGGCAAGAAAAAGACTTTCCCTCTCACCTCGTTCGGTGGAAGTGAGTGGACCCCCCGAATACGCTGCACTAGCAGCATAAGAGTGCAAAGGGCGCGTAGAGCACTTTCTCTGTCGTTCGTTCGTTCGTTCGTTCAATCGTCAAGAAAGTTCACGTTCTTCGCCGAAAGTGCACACTACTCTAATATTGCTCTTTTGCGTACACTTCTCTCTCACTCGCTCGCTATGTATGCGCGTAGAGTTAGCGAAAGACCGGACAAGAAGCGGAGAAAGCGAAATGTGAACGACGAACGACGAACGCGAACGAACGCATGTACGAAAGTACAAGTAGCCGGCCCCGGCCCCCGAGCTCGTGCTCATGTAATGGAATTCCGCGCAAGTCATCGACGACGCTGAGAAAAGCGCACAAGTGCCTACGCCCGACGACCATGAAAGGGCCAGCTCACAAATTTTTGACAAGGGGCTGTGTGTGGAAGCAGGAAGTTGTGCGTAGGCTGCGGATAACTAGTGAAAAAGGGCTAGCTAGGGAAGGCTGAAGATGGAGGGGGGAATGAATCTGATGCAAAGTGAAATTACCGTGCTTCAATATTGTAGTTCAAAAATTTTAACGGTTTTTATAATTTTTGAATTTTTTGGTATATTTTTTGACAAGGGGCTTTGGAAGAAGGAACCGTGCGTAGGCTAATCACCGAAAAAGGGCAGGATGAGGAGGGTGCCTTTGAAATAAGTTCAGATAGGACCAGCTCGACCATAAACTGCAAAAAATTCAACAACATTAGAATTTTGAGAGCTAATTTTTCCAGATCAAGAGAAAATCACTCTGTATGCACAATTCAAGTGTTCAGACTAATAAATTTTCACCACTCTCTAACCCCCCCCCCCTTTCTCGCCGTAAATAACTAAACAAAAGTAAATGAATCATTTGGCAAGAGAAAAATGCGGAAGTTATCGTGCGCCCGAAATGATGAAAAAATCGACGAATGGCGCAATTCGGAAATGGCTATAAAAATGTTGATGATTCCGAAAGCATTAAAACTCTGACAAGCTTCGCTGAAGGGAAAAGGAGATGGAAAGAAAGTGGGAGGGGGGGGGGGGTTGGGAAAGAAGAGGAGAGAGAAAGGCTGGCGATTTACACTACATATCACCTTGGAACTTTAGCCGGTCCTAATCCAAAGAGCCTTGGAAATCATAGGGTTAGAAATCATCAAAATTGAACTTTTAAATCTACAGACCAAAAATAAAGGACACTAACAATCAGACTAAAAGCTCCAAAGACTATGTTCAGTCATACCAGATTGCAAATCCGCTACAAAAATCCCTCCAAAAAAGGACTCACCGAACCCTGGCGAAGAAAAAGAGCGGCTTAGCTTTCGGGCAATCCTCAGTCATAGCTGTGACGACGTGCTAAAGCCCCATATTTCCTAAGCTGCACTTTCTTGCCTTAAAATCGAAAGAGCACTGCGAGCACATTTAGAATCTCGCCAGTATGTGGAAGTAGCCCCTATTTCACGGCTCACTCGATTCTCCACGAAAAATTGCACTAGACGAACTTAGATGAAACGCAGGAGACCAGCGCAAGTTCCCCTTTGAGATAACAAGACCCAGGAACCAGGAAACTTTTACGTCGTTCCTCTTCCAGCCGCTTTGAACTTGCTATGCCCTTCGGAAAAGTACAACAAACATGCAATTACATAAAGATGGGCAAATCGAGAGGAGGCGATGCGGTGCGGTCGCCCCGCCGATATCAAGGGACCATCAAGGACAGAGAGAAAGCAAATAACGAGAAGCACTTTCGATACGCCACACAGCCACACACTCTCTCTGAAGCAGATAGAATTTCTCGTTCATTTGCCGGGCACTGTGAGAAGAGATCAGTGAGGGACGAACGAAAAAAATGGAACAGCCAAATTTATAAGTCTTTCGAAACTAGCTAAACAGGTAGGTAACGAAGGGTAATTACATAAGGAACCTGGAAATCTGGCACTGTAAAAATAAGTTCAAAAGAAAATCAGAAGTAACACTAAAAATGAGATCCTGTGAGTGCATATGGACGCTCGAAATTTCAAAGTAGAATATCAGCGTCTAAGGCCTCGGGTATACTTCACGCGATTTTAGTCGCGACGCAACCTGGCATTTTGCCAGATGTCTCTAAATGCAACACTGCAGAATAAGAAGGGATATTATGGATGAATGCAGGTTGACAGAATGTCCTACATTTTGTAAAATCAGATGCGCTTAAGATGTGATATAAACATCTGGAATATTGCCAAATCGCGTGGAGACTGAAATCGCGTAAAGTATGCCCGAGGCCTAATGGAAGCCAATGGGAGCATATTGCAGACAGTTTTTGTGCGTGCTTCGACTTAGCAGAATTTTAGAAAATCGAAAAAAAAAAAACATCGGTGGAAGTTTTCAAGCAACCTGTACCGGAAGTTCAACAACGTTAGAGGATCAGGTAAGTTGAGACTGCGCGGAATGTTACAAGAAAGGTAGCCATTTATGAAAGTATGAAAATCACGAAAAGCTTCAGCCACTAAATTAGTAGAAAGTGGATCTTTTCTGCCCTGAAGGTGCTTGATAGTCACTGCTTTGGAAAGGGTTTTCACTAGCAAGAAAACATCAAAAATAAAGTTTAGTTCACAGTTTACAAGCTTGGAGCTCCTACAGAAACCGATTGAAGCGCTATGATCAAATCCTCGTGGCAGAAGTTCTAAGCCGCAATTCTATGGCTTGACACTGACAGCCACGGCAATAATATGATCGTCTGAACTTTGATCAGTTAGGGCAGGGTGTCTTTTCAATCTATCTGGTCGCTATCGCAAGCTATCAAGTGATATCACGATTGCGTTTCGTTAGCTGTTCCTTGAGTGGCTTCAAATTAGAAGAGTTTAGGGAGGGAGCTCGGTATCGTATGACTGAACTTTAGACTCTTGAGCAAAATTGATCATTTCCCTATACTACTGTAAAACAACCGAAAATCAGAGAACGGACTTGAAATGTAAGCCATACTCCCTTCTTTCATGAAGCTAACAAGTGATCAGTCATCATGATGATTACTTTACAAGAGAGGCATGTATACTCGGTCGTTACGATAAAAAACGAACATCTCTGCTGAGTAAAGGGCCGGGCATACTTCACTCGATTTCAGTAGCGACGCGATTTGGCAATATTCCAACTGTTCGTAACTCACTGTAAGCACATTTTGAATGTACAGAAGATAGGACATTTTACCGTTCACGCAAGTTATACACACTATGCATGTGCAGTTTGCTAATGTTGAATCCGAAGACTCCTGGCGTATTGCCAAATCGCGCCGCGACTGAAATCGCGTGAAGTATGCCCGGCCCTTAAGGGCCAATGGCCAATGGCGAAGTGAACAATTTCACAGTTCAGTCAATCACAAGCGACACAAAAATTTGCTTCTTGGTAAGATTTAACGATGACGATGGAGCGTATAAGTAGAGAAAAAACGTACTTCATCTCCACATTCAGAATCAGACGGTTCAAGTAGAAATGCTGCACTTTAGGCCACGCCCACTGGTGGCAGTATCGGCACTTTGTTGGTTACTATTGGTCAAGTAAATTGGTGTGAAAGTATCACCGTTGTGATTGGCCGAAGTGCTAGAGTCCCTAATTCAAACTTAGTCAGCCTTCACGGACTTGACAATTCAAATGCCCCTGATTTGCTATGGCAAACTCCGCCCACACATCAAACACCGCCCATCAATTCGTCGATCCGGGGTGTAGTAGAGCAATCCAGCTCCATACTATTCAAAAACTCTGCCTACCCGCTGGCGACACTACCGATGGTGTCCAACGAAGGTGCAAACAGTCCTTGCCTAGCCATGGCCAGTTGGCTACCGTATTGCGTCATACCACCAAACGAAGCCGATCGAGCTTTTTGATGTTTTTCCAAGTCGAAGAAATCATCGTTGTCATCGCCTGGAAAAAATACTGTTTGGTGTTTACAAGGATTTCAATATGAAAATATGTTTTTGAAGTTTTGACCTACCATTAGGGCTGTCTATTTTCAAGTCGAGATCACTACGACGTGGTGGACATTCGGATGGAATGGAGTTCAGCGACGTCGACACCGAAAACAGCGAATCCGTCGAGGGCGATGTGGTGTTCAGCGACGGATAGGTGGTATTCGGCTGCATCATGCTCGATGTGGAAATATAGCACTGCTGTTGGAACGAGAGCGGGGTAACGGCACCGAACGTGGGCAACTGTGGTGGCGCAAGGCACTGCGTTTGCGAGAGGTGATTCGACATTACACCCTGCAAAATGAAGATGTGGGTTTAGAGAGTGAACCTTACTCAATCACCATTTTAAAAGGATGGTATAGTATCAGAGATCAGACGGATAAAAATGGTTAATCATTGCACGTACAGTCAAGTATAGGCATTCATTGCACGCAGATACTGGGCCCGCTACGTCCGAACAAGATAGTACGTGTTTGCGAGAGACAGCAGATGACTGGAGGAATGAAACCACGTAGTTATACTCTAAGACGCCGACAGCGTTCATTTAACGGTTGATACAATGAGCGCGGGGTGCCACTACGGTGGTGACAATACTTGCACGTGAAACATGACTACTGAGCGCTTTTCAAGTTTTGCGTCCCATGGCTGATTCTTACGTGCAAATTTTGTTAGCAACGCAGAGACACCTAATTTACGCCAATATAACTAAACATCGCCTCAATTCCAGGAGGTCATATATCATAAACCATCATCGAATTCGATTTGCTGGAATTTTTTGACTAAAAACATTGGGGACCGATAAATACAGATATGTTAATAAATATAGTGTAAAGTTTTAACTAAGCCACTGCCCAGATAGCAGCTCATTAAAATCATTTTTGATCAAGAAATTCTACTCTGATCTCTCGCCCAAACCGTAGACTTTCCAAGCGAACGAGTATGAGTACGATCTGGGCGAAGGTTGTTGAACTCCTCCGCCGCTTTAGCATGATGTATGAGGACTCACTAAGTGTTCACATTATGGGTTCTGGTAGCAAGATTGGTTTGGAGAGGAGGAGGAGGCGGAACGGGGGGGGGGGGGAGGCGAGAGGGGGGAGAACAAAATCCTCTCGACTATAATTTGGAGACTTCATTTATTTTAGATGGCGTTCCTTCTTTTTGCCCAAAATTTATGGCATAAAAAATTCGAGCATTCATAGCACTAATGTACTTGACGTGAAATGAAGTACATATGGTGCAGCACGCTTCTTGATGACCCTTCAGTGACGAAAGAATACGCAATGCTACTAACTTAATTCATTATTTCTGAGACAAAAGGACAGTGCAACGAATGCACGATGCGTAAAACTGCACTACAGCAGATTTCACGAGAAAAATTAATGAGGTTTGTGTTTTAGTGCAGAAATTATCTCATTAGCTCGACTACTTCTGCAAATGTGAAACTAATGATTGGAAATTTGAAGAAGTCCTATTGTACGATTGTTAGCTTGTATTTGTAATTAGCAATCAATTTTTCATATTCCACGGATTCATTATTGCAATGTTAATTACACTGAAATAATGAACTTTTTATAAGGGGGGGGGGGGCTGAAACACATTATGCTTCCACATCAAGCAAAAGCTAATGATTTGAGATTTTAAATGAAGCTACAAGAGCTGAAAGAGCTTTGGATTGTCTAATTCATGAGTAAGGGGTTTCCAACCATACCTCCATAAACTTAACACCAAGGGTCCACTCAATGTTTTCTACTCCTGGCAAGAAAACCATGGCGTAATATTACGTATGCATGCCCAAAGAACATTATTTTTCATAATACGATTTGGAAATGCAGCCGCAATCGATATCCTAGAACCATATTTCATTCAAATGCTGTTTATTACAAGTAACTACAGCCCATCGAGAAAGAACGCAAATTTACAGAAATTGCGAGTGGTGAGCCCCTGGATTATGCAAAGCCTAACGAGTGGGTTACGAAATAAGAGCCAAGAGTAGGTCCGAAAATTCCTTGGAGAATTAAAAATTACACTAGAGATAAGGACAATCTATAGTGCAAAGCAAGAGGGTAGGTCATAGATCATCTGGTGCAACGCTGCAGAGACTGATCTTCTCTGTCGAAATAGCCACAAGATGCTCACATGTGCTGTTGTTTAGTGTTGCTGTTGTCTTCTAGTAGGTACGGTAGTAGATGCGCAGGGAAGGAGGAGAATGGTAGGACCCCTTCTTCACTTCCAATCAAAAATTTGTCAAACAACCCCACTAGCAGTCGATGATTTCGAAACTTTTCATTTGAGGCCAACGTCAAACTTGCCTGTTTTAGCCCCGACAATCAATCATAATTGTGATTATCTTGTCAAACACAGTCATCCCCCCCCCCCCACCATTTTCTCAATTGATGGATACGAATATGGTTGTGAAATTTTGTAGATACTAACTGGGCTAGTTGACTGTAAAACTTGCGGTATGGCAGAATTTGTACATACAGGATTTAAAAAAATAGTTACTGAACATACTCCTGTTGGTTACTGCAAAACAAATGGAAATGCTAGAAAACTGAGTCAAAAGGAAGGAACGCTGCTTACGAGAAGGCAAGAGATTGTCGGGTCCTGGCACTACTTGATGGAGATGCTGCAGTAAAAATACCCTTGCATGAGTTTCTTGGGCAAAGGACTGCTGCTAATAGGCTCGGGCTGCGCGAACAACTGGTTACAAGAACGCATAGAGATGCAGTTATTGTGACAGATGTCCGCGTAGGCAGAGCCTCTCGGTGATACACTTTCCCCTCCTTTTTTGACAGGAGACCGATTTCCGGATAGAGGAACGCACGAAGGAATACTTTCTATAGGCACTGCCTTCGTGGACAACTGATCCTTTCGTAGTGGTGCTGCACGCCCTTGCTTACCCTACTGACCATGTTAGCATTCGGATCACTTATCGAAATTTAGGCAAAAGTGTATAAAAAATAGAAGGAAATCGGGTTGTATGTACATCCCTTGAAAACTAGCGCATTTGAGGTGCATGAGAGAAATGGGGATCGTAAAGTGTAGTGTACACGCACAAGCGGTCAAGTGCTTGCACTTTTACCGAGAATCTTTCTTACCGTAATAAATCAATCAATAAATGGATTTTTCTTTATGCTCTGCTTGCACTTTTGAGTTCATCTTTACTTCTTGTGTACTTTTGCAATTACATATGATCAAAGTTCAGTTGAATTTTTTTTGCAAAAAGTAGAGGAGGACATTTAGTTTGTCTTGCCCTGCAAGGATCAAAGAGATGTGAATTTTTCCCATGCTTTTCTCATCTGATATAAAGACTCGAAGGTTTTTATGATGAGAGTTTCTACATTACTGCAAATCTTGCTACAATTTGTTTGATAGAAAATTCCCCAAGCGCCTCTTTTCATCATTCTTCATTTGTGAGCGTCTAAATAATTTCTTCCCACAGTTGACGTCCCGTTACTCAAAAATCCCTGAAAATTGCTCCCATAGATTTTTTGTTAGAAATTTAAAGAGATGTAGACGTACAAGAAAGTTTAACTATATCTCATTTATCGCCTACGCAGCATAAATCCTTCGAAGAGCTGCGCATATCCTAGCATTTCAATCAAGAAAATGGAATAGATGGAAAGAAAGAGTGCATCTTGCACGTACATTCTTGATGACTAAGAAGTAATAAATTTTGTTGGAGAAAACTGGAAATAGTCTCGTGAGGAGAAAAATTTGATAACTTGGTTTTCGGCGGGTCTTGGTTTGAGAAAACGATAGGAAGGCAAGAATTCTTACAAGTTTGATAAAACTAAGGAAAGAAAAAGGAAGGAAGTTGCGGTTCATTTTAGGCTGTTTTGATTACGGTTTAGAAGTTCTAGCATGTTCCACAGAATTGTACGAGTAATTGAAATTTTGCCAGTAAAGAATGGAAACTAGCCAAGAAAATAAAAATTATCAAAAAAGCTGGCAGAACCTTCCAGAAGCAGTTTTCTCAAGAAGAAGAGAAAAATTTGATGATTGGCAGGCTATAAATCGTCTAGACTATAAAATCATTAAGCATTGCAAGCAAAGTGCTAAGTACATTTTGCACAAAAACATGCATGCACCCTTTATGGGGCTTTTTTTTCCTGATCACGAGTTGATATGAGAATAACGTTGCCATGGATGAAGAAGACAAAAGCACAAGCTCATCAGCTAAAAGTCAAATCTTAAAAATGGATAAATTTTGGGAAAAATCGATAATTTTCGCCGGATGTGATGTCTGATAGAAAGAGTGTTGCTTGCCTCTGCTGCTGTTACCCAGTGCTAGCGAAATGACCTTGTGATGAATGGTGTCTGATCAGCGCATTACAAGTGCAAAAGTGAAAGTGATAGGAAATTTTTATTGGCAGAGAGCCAAGTGACTTTCTGGCAATTTTTGAGCATTACGTAAGTTCTTTTAAGGATGTCAGATATACTAGGTTGAAAAATATCTCCTGTTACAGGTTTTCCTTTTGGTCTCGAAAAATTAGAATAAAATTCCAGAAATCTAAAATTGTTGGACCTTCGAGAGATGAGTCTACTCACCGTCGATGCCGCAGATGCACCCACGGCCAACAAGTTTACGACAACTTTGTAAACGCACTCAGTTCTTTTACTTCTAATTCCATTTCCGCCCCCTTTTAGATTTCTTCTGTCATATTTTGGAACCTATTCCGATATTTCCATGAGGGCAGTTATGCCCGAGCATCTCAAAAGTGAGAAGACAGAAACGTCACAATTATTTTCAGCTTCTAAGAGGCCCTCCATGCTGTTAGGGATTGGTCACGAGAAAAATTGATTCATTAATTTTTTCGAAGAAGTTTTTTTGATAGATTCCAAAAAAGTGAAAGGTGTAAGACAACTTATCCGTCAACTCAATATCATAGCATTATGCATAGTGGAAAAGCCGTGCGCTAGTCGCGACTGCGCAGTACCCTTGCCTCCCAAAACACCAGATGTACACCATAATAAAATGGAAATAAACTTTTTGCGCACGTGGACTTCATTAGCAGTTGATACTACTTAGATACTATACGGAAACCGCCTTTTAGCTCCTACGGAGGGGGGGATGGTGTTAAAGAAAGTGGGTTGAAATACTTGCTGTCCCTGAAGACACCACAGATAAGAGACTTATATATGTAATTTTACAGAGAACGACTCCTTTGTGTCTCAAACAATTCAACGAAAGGAATTTTCTTGCAAAAACGACAAAATAATCTTGACGTCGAGCGCTGCCATGTGACATAATCGCTAAACCAGCGAACAAATAAAATTATCGGAAAGGCTAGAAAAAGCGCTCCATGCGTAAGTTCAATCGATTTGTATCAAAAATAGAAACTTATTCTCTGAATTCCACTCTCCAACTCAAATCTGCGTTCAGCTTATGGAAAAATGCCTACACTACTAAATCTTAATGAGTTTTGAAGGAAATGAGAAAAAAGGTAAGACGACTTACCTTTCTGATTTTTGACGCAAAACCGTCAAAATAACGATTCTTTACTGGCGCTTGTGAGTTTTGTCTCTGAAATATGAAGTTAAATCATTTATATCGCTCTCGAAAACTGGTTTTACACCCGAGGACGAAGGAAATTGAGTAACCAGCGATTCTACGGCAAAATGGAATGAGCTATCAAAAAAGCAAATTTTGTGATAAATCTTCTATTCCTGAGACGGAAATCGTTGAAAATGAAAAAGGAATTAAGAGCCTTTGCAGAATATTCTTCTGCACTTTTGAGAAGAAATTGGGTCATACAAAAATGATATCGCAACAATTCTATAATCAGTGACAAGTGCAGAGATTTTTTCGTTGAAAAAATTAGAATCTGACTCGAAATGGGTCTCTTGAGGAGAACCCGTCAATCAAAAGCCATTGCATGTCAATCAGTTCAGAAAAAAAATAATCGATATAGAAACGATACTACCATTATAATCATTTTTTATTCACTTTTCTAACTCGAGGGGGGGGGGATGGGATTGCTAATTTCTTTCTCCCAAAGAATGTCTAAAAATGTTTTCCTTTAATCTTTTCATTTTCTCTAAGCTTTCTATGAGAGTTCAGAATCATTATGTTACAATAAAGCTTGAAAGTAAAAAGTAGTAATTTTTTTCGGCGATATTCCTTCTGGTAGAAGTTCTTCTTCAAAAAATACGACAAAATTTCCAAGGCTGAAGCATTGCCAGCGCAGTCTTATCAGTTTTCGTCGCAATCATTGTACGGAAAAAGACTTGCTTATCTAGCGAAGACTGAAATAAACTGGGTGAACAAAGTGTATGAATCGACTGATCTATTTGAGATTTTTTGTTTTTTAAAAATCGGACGAAAGAGAGGAGCTATCAGCCTAAGCTAACCCTGCAAATACAGATCTTTTTTGAAAAAAAAGGCAAGGGAGCGGGTTCAGAAAGCAAACGAAATCGATCTTTGATTATAATGGTACACATAGTCAACGTCGGGGAATAGCAAGAAAGAACCGGAGAAAATCCCCCACGTTAGGCTATATAGGATTGGTGAAACCGCGAATATTTCGATGCCTCACATCAAACTGTATAGGATTGATGAAACCGGAAATTTTTGGAGGAATGCGAAAACTGGTGCTGAAAATCTCGTGGAAGTTTTTTTTTTCAAATATAAAAGCGGTTGATTCTCGTTTTGAGAAGGAAAAACACAATTCTAAAAAAATGATAAATGAACTATAATTATTCAAATTTTAGCCAAGTGCGAAAAGTTTAAGGGTCAGGAAGTGAATAGGCTGAAAAAGAGTGAACTTAGCAAACAAGCGCCCCACACGCTGGGCCCCTATAGAGAGAGAGACGAGGCATATGCGTGCGTACGCTTGCGTGATTTTTACATCTGGTCTTTGAACATTTGCCGGGTTGAATGGGAGAGTGTTGAGAGCGGCAGAGATTGGCGCAAAGCAACGAAATGAAACGAAGTAAGTGATAAGTTAGGAGCGGTGAGCATTGATAGCATGGTTTTTGAAAAAAATCCGCAAAAGCTGCATGGTTTTAACAATACCGTAATCCTACAGTAAGCTGCCGCAAAAAAGCTAATTTACTCTCGCAGAAAAGAAATCGACACAGTCAGAACAGTAGGGAAAATGCCCAAAAAAGCTAGAAATCATGAGAATTGATAAATAAAGAAGATTCTAGGGAAACTTTGAAAGAATTACTAAACTTTTGCGAGTGGTTGAGCCGATTGCGCTTGTTCTCTCTAACTCGCTCACCGCTAATATGATAACCGATGATCAGAGATCGAGAGCCAGCTCGAGAAGAAACCTTTAGCGAGCGATATTACGACAGGTGTGATCATTCGGAAGAGATTACATGAGTGGGGAGAAGGGTCCGAAAAAGTGGAAGAGAAGTCGGTAATTTTTGTGATGCAGGAGGAGCTTTGCTAAGACAGTATGGCTGGTTTCTGAGCAGCGAAACCGAGTGATAATCATCAAAAATGAAAGAAGTTTGTAGATAAGGTGCTTTTCAATAATGCGATTTGGAAGTACAAAGCTCATCAAAAAATAAATCTTAAAATTACCCCATTTTGACCGAAAACTAGGATAACCAAGTTTGAAAATCATTTGGGTACTTCAAATCTCAAAGCATTTAAGCCTACCATTTCCGCCTATTAGTCTAGATTGAAAAAGATTTTCCGAGCAAGAAAAACTGCCAAAAAGCAGGACCATGTTCCTAGCCCATCAACCTAGCCCAGCAAATATTCAAAAAGCCAATTTAAGTATACAAAGTTTCGATGATGTCATAGCGTTTTCAGTTTCCGTCGAAGAAAGAAACCTTTCTGGTTGAGCGATAGAACAGGACCAAGTGCAAAACGTTCGATAAAACGACCTTGAAATGTTGCGAATCAGAATTTCTTTGAAAATCGCTCTTACGATGAGAGATATTTAGTGAAATGACCTTTCTCACGTCATCTACTCTTTTAGGATGAAAGCTTCAGGAAATAAGAGGAGCAGAAGTATCTTCAAGTGAACTGCTGACTGCCTGTGCTCGATCCAGGAAGGAGAAAAGCTCTCAACTGGAAAGATTTACGCGAGCAGTTTAAAAGATTAATTGCTCACTCGGTTTCACAATCAAAGCGCAATGGCTTGAAAAACTGAACTTAAAGAGGAAATGAACAGAGCAAAAAAAGTTTCTGAGCCATTTCAGGGGAGAAGTCGATTGCTTCCGACCGCAATGAAGCCATGATATATCCGTGAGAATCGGAAGAGATTAGTGGATGAGTAGAGCGAAGGAGAAAACGAAAATGAAGAATGAAGATGACACGAAGAGGAAGTAGCAAAGATGCAAATTTTCTCTTTTTTCGTTGAAAAACCATACGAAGATTCGTACAGCGAAATGGAAAAATCCCCATGGAAAAACTTGGCTTTGCATAATTCGAGCGGGAAAACAATCACGATAAATGCGAAAAAGACGGATGATCTCCGCAAAAAAATCCATTTCCATAAATGACTAGATTTGGCATAGATAGGGAAAACAGACTAGGTGGGAATGGTAATCGAAAAAAGCAAAAAATTGGGGAAGAAGAATATAGCGGAGAGTGCGAAAGTTGATATGATTAAGACCCAAATCTCTCTTAGTCATCTTCTCGGCACCCGATACCCTAAAATCTAAAGAAAAAGCCTATTAATGGAAATGTGCATGATTATTTTCCTGAAAAAATTGCAGTAAAATTTACTGCATCTTGACTAAGAATTTCCTGTCCAGATTAACCCTCGTCGAGTTCACTATGAAATCGCAAACACTATCAATCAGACGGTTTTTTGCGTATTTTCACATATGCACACTCTTTTCTGATTCATTCTGATGTTTACCGTTCCATTTAGCTCTTCAAACGGTTTTTTCAACCCCTCTCGTTGCGACATTACATCGAAAACACGCAAAAAACGCGAACGACTGCGTCATCGCTTGGAAAAGTGCCAAGAGCAAATGATCTTTGTTTTACTCGATGGAAACAGAGATAAGAAGATGAAAATGGGGGGGGGGGAAGTCGATTGCAGTCTAGAATGGTCAGAGATCAATTTGAGCTAGTGGCTGTAAAACGCTCAGAAAAATACAAAAATTTTGCACAAAAATTATTCTACAGTAATCTGGAGCAAAGCAAAAATCAGTGCGGGACATCCAAATGAATCTAGAATGTAGCTTTGATCCCAATTACGTAAATGAAGAGATGCAAAGCTACCGTAATCTTTTTCTCATTATTAATTGGCAAACAAAAATCAAATGTCACGAAAACCAGACAGCGAAATCAGTCGCTAAAATTACAAATTGATTAACTTTTTCTTCTACAAATTCAAATTTTACCAATCCAGAAGACCAAAATGATAAGAAAGATTACTATAATCGATTTCGTGCGCTGCAAGAAGAAGAGGGGGAAGAATGGGAAAACAAAGCGTGCTCCATTCTCACGCTGCTTCAATATGGGCTATTGGTGCTGGTGATGGCCAAGTCGTGAACTGCGTCAACAAAAAATATAGTTTCGCGAAAATTCTTGGAAATCAGGAACAAATAAATAGAGGGACTAAATATGAAAGGTTAAGCGAAAGAAATTCAAAAAAAGGGATGAAAAAAAATGAGCGAAAAACAAGTCTCAAATCAGTAAATGGAAAGTTGGAGAGTTGTGGGTGAATAGGGAGTCTACAATGAGAAAATTCGATGACTACGATGAATAAATGTACTTTGAGTGGATGTATGTATGAATCTTTGAATAGATTAATGGTTGTACCAAAACGTCAACACCACAATTTGATGATTCTTGAAAAGCTGCCAAAGAGAAGCTGTAGGTTAAGGAAAAGCGTCAAAAAAATTTCCTCAGAGTTTTCGAGACCTGTACTGTAGTGTATTTGCAGATAGGGGATTTTTTTTACTTTGACTTACCCAGCTTTTGCTAGATGAAAAGCTTGCAATTTCGTTTTGAATACTTTAGATCTTATTTTCAGAGAATATACGTTTTTATTTGCAATAAAAGTAGGTTTCTCGAAATTTCACTCGCAAAACGCAAAAACGAAGCCAGCCGAGTCGCTTTGGCGAGCTCCGAAACATCGAATGACCTTCACGGAGTCTACGCTGTTGCTTACATGCCCTTTGTCGACGACCTAAATCGCCCCACGTAGCGCGCTTCTCATATCGCAAGCGACGGGACGATTGACCTTTGCAGCCTTGAACATTTCGCTTAGTGATCAAAAAACGAAATTTTGTGAAAATTGATCATTGGTGGGTAATCGAACCGAGCAAATGTTCGAGGAGAAAGTGATTACTCGAGATACGGTATTCCCAGATAAGTACAAGATTGGCATTTCGTTGTTATCAGCTTGGTTTCTCATTTTATCAAAGTCAAAGCTTCAAATCACGATTCTAGCCTCGGTTACGTTTACAAGCGAGAAATGTACTTCGTCATACTGCAAGGCTATTGTAGGTACTTTCTTGCAGGAAGTGCTTGCCTGGCATTTTAAACCCTATCGATTGCGAAATAAAATTTATCTTGATGTGATTCTGCTTCGGTCTACCCTGTCTATATCACCTCTTACAGTACTCCTACAGTAGACTACAGAAGAAAATGAATCTCTTACACGTCATGTTGCGCTTCACAATTCCTGTTGCATCCCTAGAAGATCATGTTGCAGCTCTTGCAGGTCATGTTGCAACTCCAAGTCTTGTTGCAATTATACAAGTCCTGTTGCAATTCCTACAAGTTGTGTTGCAACTCCTACAATTCATGTTGCAGCCACCATAATGCAACTCTGACAAGTCCTGTTGCAAATCCTACAAGTCATGCTGCAGCTTCCACGACCCACGTAGCTCTTACAAGTTTTGTTGCAGCTACCACAAGTCACGTAGCAGTTACCACAATTCATGTTGCAGCTCTCACATGTCATGTTGCAGGTCTTGGTTAGAAGTCCTGTTGCAGCTCTTAGTCCTGTTGCAACTCTTACAGGTAATTTTGCAGCTCCTACAACTCATGTTGCAGCTACCACAATTCATGTTGCAGCTACCATAATTCATGCAGCTCTTACAAGTCTTGTTGCAGCTACCACAATTCATGTTGCAGCTCTTACAAGTTCTGTTGCACCTCTTACAAGTGATGTTGCAGCTGGGATTTTTCCCAGTATTTTATATTAATTACAATGTCTCCAAAATGCGCGACTCTTAGTGCTAATAAGCAAATCTGCTAATTTTCAAATCGCATCAGACATCTGCTTTTTCAGCTAGCTTTTACTTATTAATATTAACCTTTCAATGATTTTCATGAACACCAGAACAAAAGCAATTCGTTGGCGTCCACTAACATTTCTTTTCCAATATCTATTGGCTAAAACCACGTTAAATAATCCTCTCATTGTCCAGCTGCGTTTTTGTGCACGTTTGAAGTTTGATTTGACGCTATAGCATTCATTTTTCATCATCTAAGTCGTGTCTCATACCGAGCGGTCGTGTCGTACTTTGCTCTGCCCAAGATGGTCTCTCAACGCCGAAATGCCAAGTCGAAGAAGTCAAATGAAACCGTTTCGACTGCTGTGGAGCCGACTTCACCTTCTGCTGTTACGACAAGCAATTCTCAAGAGGATGAAGGTACGCTTTTACAGCAGCTTCATTCAATTCTGGCTGGTAAGGCGCCAGAGGCCTTGCCATTGCTCGATCGATTATTGCAGTTGATCAGGCCTGCCACGAAGGACCTCATAGATCAAGAAAAGCGGTCTCGTTCGATAGTTATTTCAGGTGTTCCTGAACTTGACGATGCTCTAGCATCAGAGAGACAGGAACATACTGAAAAGTCAGTTATGTCCATATTGGACAAACTTGACATCGAAACGAGACCTATCGAGGTCTATAGGATGGGGAGACCTGTTAGTGGCAGGCCACGGTTGATCAAATGCGTATTCTCCTCCCAGCAGTTTTATTTTAGCGCATTAAAAAAAGCACCACAACTGCGCGGAGTGCCTGGTTGTGATCAAATATTCATCCGCAGGTCCATGACCCGCGAAGAGCGAGATCACGACCGGGCACTCCGGCAGCAAGCGCGGGAGTTGAATACAAAGGAGCACGGCGGTGGCAGGGTTTTTGTCGTATATAGAGGGCAAGTGGTCAGAGCCGCTGACATTCCACATATTAAGGCATCATTAGCAAAAAACTGATGACCTGCTTGGATACTTCCGCGGTACCTTGTTTTTTGTTGAATGCCAGAAGTTTGACGAACAAATTAGTAGAATTTCACCATTTTGTTCATCTCCATAAACCCGCAATTATTTTTGTCACCGAATCATGGCTTAACGGTAATATAACCGATGCTGAAGTCCTGGGTGATCTTCCGTACAGCATCTTACGCAGTGATCGTAGAAACAGAAAAGGAGGAGGAGTGTGTGTATTGATTCGATACGATATTTCATTTCGCAGCATTGATCAGAGCTTCTCTTCACTTACTGATCTACTGATTTTTGATCTGTTTATCAGTGTTAGCTATCATATGCGAATCGTACTACTGTATCGACCACCACGCCAAGTATTCTCTTACGATGAACAACTCATTGATGTCTTGGAGAATTTGGCAACATCTACAAAGAACATTCTTATCTTAGGTGATTTCAACCTCAGTGATGTTGACTGGTCTGAAGTGAAGGCTACCTCATCCTCCTCCTCCCGATTTGTTTCACTTTTTGAATGTCTGGGGCTCTCTCAACTTGTCCAAACTCCCACCAGGGGTACGGCGATCCTAGATTTGATTTTTGCGAAGCCCGATGATGTTTCTGATGTCCTGATTCAGCCACCTTTGGGTAACGCAGATCACAGTATTGTATCTTTCCGCATTAGCTTGTCTGTTCCTGGTCGAAGTGATAGCGATGGACATTCATCAGTGCGAGACTACTCTAGAGCGGATATAAACTCCATAAAAGCTGCACTAGCCAATATTGATTGGTTTAATGTTTTCGATGGATATTCTAGCGTCGATGAGCTTTATGATCGCTTTCTCAATATTATTCAAGATCTGATCTCACGTTATGTTCCGTTTAAGAAGCAAAATCCCCCATTTCTGAGTTATCCAAAGCACATTCAAAACCTTTGGGCTCAGAGAGTGAGACTCTTTTTGAGTCTCTCAAACCCTTTGAACAGCTCAGAATACAAGAACCTTTCTAAGGAGTTATCGTTTCATTTACGACGCTATTTGCAGCAAAAAGAAAAGAGAATGGCTAAACAAGTCCGCAAGCGAAACCTTTGGGTCTACTTGAAGAAACATTTGAAAGAAAATAAATTTTTTGGTCCTCTAGAAGATATTGATGGAAAGATCTATACCACCCCCATCACTAAAGCTGAAGCACTAGCAGACCACTTCGCTGGTATATTTTCCAACCCTTCAGATTCATGTCCCTTATTGCTGAACAGATCTTCGGAGTCTTGTCCTTCACCAAGCATTGAATCTCATGATATTCGAAAGCTCTTGAAAAAAGTAAGCCCAGCAGTTTCGGCTACTTCCGATAATATTCCAGCAGTCTTTTATAAAATGTTTGCCAATGAGTTGGCCCTCCCACTGGCACATATTTTCAACGTTTCGCTGATGAATGCGGAAGTCCCCCACCTGTGGAAATCGGCCATTGTCACTCCCCTACCAAAGACATCTCATAAACCTAAGCTCTCCGATTATAGACCAATAAGTATTCTTCCAACGCCTTGCAAAATACTTGAGAAGATTATTGCAAAGAATCTCATGCAGTGGCTAGAGAGAATTAAGTGTCTCCCAGAGCAACAGCATGGCTTTCTACGAGGTCGATCCACAGGTACTCAGCTTCTCGATTGCCAGTTTGACTGGACCGAGGCACTGAGCAGGAATCGATGTATTGATGCTGTTTATTTCGATTTGAGTAAAGCATTTGACACAGTAGATCATAATCTTCTTTTGGCTAGGTTGGAGAGCTTAGGGATTAGAGGTCTACATCTGAAATGGTTCGAATCCTATCTTCATGATAGAACATTTTCCGTTCGAGTCCTTGATACTTTTTCGGCTGCGAGAGTCTGCAAGTCCGGTGTTCCACAGGGGAGTATCTTGTCACCAATCCTGTTCAATTTATATACTATTGATTTACCGTCCTCCCTCATATCAGACCCAAGGATTAGAGTTGCCGCGTACGCAGATGATGTTAAAATTTATATCGCTTACGACCAGAATGATAAGAGTAATGCTGCCATAGCACTCCGCAGCTCAATTTCCCAAATGTTTGCTTGGGCTAGCAGATGGAATATCAAAGTAAATTACTCCAAGAGCTGCACTGTTCCCATTGGGAGAACGCCTGCTCATCCTAGAGAGGATTTCGGCCTCGAGTGCAAATTTATAATCAAAGATTTGGGCGTATATATCGACTCAAAACTGAAATACGCTGATCATATAGAAGTAATTGTCTCTCGTGGTACCAGAATACTTTATGCACTGATGCGAACTACTCAGTCTTCTAATCCCGAGTTTCTCTTGAGAGTCTACAAGGCTTTTGTCCTCCCAGTGGTTGAATATTGCAGCTATGTGTGGAATCCTACTTTGAAGAAAGATATTGAGAAGATTGAGAGAATTCAAAAAATTTTTACAAAGTTCGTTTTTTATCGTGCTTTCCCTAATCCTAACTATCCTCTCTCCCTACCAGATTATAAAACGCGAATACGTACACTAGGTCTTCAAACCCTTTTCTACAGAAGATTCGTAGCGGATATTATTATGGCTTTCAAAGTGCTGCGAGCTGAGGTAGGTTTGAAACCCAGCAAATACTGGGTTTTTCGACCTATTAGTGAACGCAGGGCCTCGTTCAATCTGGCTATTTCTAGGTTTGGGCGGCATAATATCACGCTGCAACGTAACAACTTCTTTTATCGAGCTGCATCGATTCTTAACAAGCTTCCGCCGCCATTTTTGTCTGTTAACTCGGCTGATCAGCTGAAAAGTGCTCTGAAGAAACTTGATGTCCTTCAGTTGTTGGGAGTTGAGGACGTTGTATGATGCTTTTTATTGGATATTGTTGACACTAATCCTGTTGTGGCATTGCATTTTACTAACCGCTCTGAATTTATGCCATAAGCGCACTTTCAGGTGCAAATAAATTAAATTAAATTAAATTTTTTGATGGTCTCATATAGAATTTGCCACATGTGACATCAACGAACTTAATCGGTGCGTCAGACTTTATAGAGCGACTGAAAGTTTATTACATTAACTATTTCTTCACAGAAATAAAAGTTTCATGAAAAATTTCGGATTTTCACGAGTACAAGTTCATGGGTGATTATGATGCAAGCCTCGGTATTTGAGTAATTGATTTGCTGGAAGCTTCCGTCAAAGCTGCAAGAAGGCAAAGGGTACTTTAATGTCTCTAGCCTACACAAACCGTAATCCAACATTATTGGAGTGACTATCGATGGAAATGTTGGAGTCGAGTAGAGCTGTTTTTTACAGGAATTCCCCCCCCCCCTCCTCTCGCTTCAGCGCAAAGATTGCTAAGAGTAAGCAATTCAGATGGAGGTAATATTCGAAAGATCTGAATAAAAATACAGTCAAAGCCTTCCACTTAGAAATTCTTATGCAACATATGATTAGGGGGTAGAAGGCTTCAACATACCTCTTCAATACAAGGTTGGATAGAAGTTAGGTTACAGAGGTGTATGGAAAGGCTTAAGTTTCATTCATCAAATTTAGGTCAATTAAAACATTTCAGGCACATCTTGGTACAAAAAATTTATAGTATAGTCTAATAGCGTTGTCTTGTAACTGAGCATGATATTCTTTCAAACTGTACTCGAATAAAACCAGAATTATCCAGAAACTTACTGACAACAAGCGGAAGATGAGATGGGAGAAATGGAAGAGTGAAGGATACTGTCGTTCAACTACATAACATCTGTTATGCTCTTTTTTGAGATCCTGGCTGGGAATTGAATTGCGCATTTTCATATCTCTTTTGTCTTCTTTACAAAACCACTCACAAATGCGCGGATAAGCCGTATTTGCTCACAGTCTGTTTTACGGATATAACCTTCAAAGCGCAAATTCCATCAGCCGCGATCCCGCCGAAAAACTGACTAAATGAAACGTGGATTCAAGGACACATCGAGCCATATGTCTGGTCGAAGATCATCAGCTCATTTTCCCAATTCAAACCGTCAGAAGCAGTTTTCAGTTTTCGGAAAACTTGAAAAACAAAGGTCAAGCAGATTGAGGATTGCAGCAACGCAGAACAGATATATGACCAGCGGATTCCAACAAATCGTCGGCAGCGACGTAATGTCCGCATTGGCACGCAGCCAATGGATAAACAACGGTCTTTTTAGCTGCGTGCCGAAGATTCTGCGCAGTGTTGACTTTTCGCTTTCCACGTGAAGCAGCGAAGCACTAGACAGCGAGCGCAAAAATTGCTCGCGCAGGCGAGGGGGCCTCTCCGGCGGATCCCAGGATCAGACCTAAGAGGTAGCGTCCTCTCAAACTGAGGATGGTGAGATTTTAATACTGTTTGATAGCGTGGACCCCAAGTATGCAAATGCCCGAGTCTCGCTGCAAAAGATGTATTCTGAATCGAGAAAACCGCTCCAGAAGGTAGAAGCAGCTACGCAGGCTCCGCCCATTAACCTTGATGTCTGAATACAACAACTCCAACTTGGGTTGATGTACCCAATATTGTCAGAGATCAGTCCTCCATCATGCTCATCAAATCCTCGACATTGCTGTCTACCCTGAGGCCCAATTTCGCACATGGGTTCTTCAGACCACCCACGTTGATGGGAGGAGCCAGCATCACTTCTTCTCTTCTGAAGTAATTTTCTCGCTTTGGACTTTATCTTTTGCAGCGAGACTAGGGCGATTGCTTCGTTTGGGGCCCTTCTATCACACAACATCAAATTCTCTTCGACCTCCTTCGGATAATGCCTTTAAGCGATCGTCTGCAGACCAGAAACCCCACCGCATTTGTGGTTTGCAATTCCATTGTGTTCTCGCTGCAGTCAGTGAACTCTGATCCCAGAGATACTTTCCGTCTGGCAGATGTAGCGGAATGTGGGCGAAGTACAGATTTGAAAGGAAAACAGCCGTCTGGTCCCCTTTCCAGACACATTAGTCACTTTTACAGCCACGACTCGACGACAATCACTATCAAATGCAAGCTCCGCCTACGCTGCGCTCCGGTAAACAATAGTCCTTGTCCTAGAATGAAGTGCTTGGTCACACTCGCCACCACGCATACTAACGTCAAGCTCTTGCGTCAGTCAGGACGTTATATGGAACGAGAATGATTTGTTAGAGCGTTGAAGTGCTTAGCACGATTGGTTACGGTAGATTAGGGCTGGTGCATTTGCAAAGATAGGTGACTTCTTGAACTAAAGAAAGTGCAAGAATAAGTAGCAGATCAGCCAACCAAAACTTTTGCAATTTATGGTGAGAATATTTTGCATTCGTCACTTGCTTCCCTCCCCCCCCCCCCCCCTCTCTCCAACTTGGTCGTAACTCTCAAAAAATAAAAGCAATAAAAAAAGAGCTACATCGAAAAGGATCTGATATTTGACGCATAAAATCATCAAAAATGCTGTTTTACTGTTTGCTTTTTCGAAATTTTGAAAAGAATTTCCTAACAAATACTTTCATAAAAAAATATATAGCCGTTTTCAAAAGCCATTCGGCATAAATGTGAAAAAATAAGTAAACTCCCGTAGAAATGTTTTGCTCAAAGGCAAGCATGGGCGCAGAGGAAATATCGGAACGACACTACTATTTACACAAACTTTTACACACATCGTGTACTCTGGCTCTCTTTGAGAGATTCGTTTCCCTTCAGCCCCTCGCACGAATTGCGAATTTTCCTTTCTTTTGGTGACCAAATTATATTAGACAAAATTACAAAGTATGTGCTTATAATTGGTTGAAGAGGATATTACAAATATTTTTGGAGCAGAAAAATCATTCGCTGTTTTGGGAGTGATGCAGCATTAATATTTATTATTTCGTTTTACTCAAGTAGTACAGAGCCTCTTTAGGCCATAAAAGTTCCCAAGTTATGCTGTAAAATTTGAAGTTTAGATTCTTACGTAATAAAAGCAAACTTCTTCTATGCCCTATCCCAGTAGTCATCGAATTGTATAAGCCTTTGTACACATGCTAAACTGATGGTTGAAGGTGGAAGCAATCCAAGCCAAAGCTAAATATGATTTGGGAGCGTAGAAGATCAAAGGGATGAAATTGTAGGCACCGGAAACGGCAAATAACCAGTGGTGCGTCAAGACCAAAAGGGCTGCGTCGAGGACAACGCAAAAAAGCGAAAAAGCGTGCCAGAGCGGCCGAAAGGCGATGAACATGCGCACTATACGTAAAGAGAGAGAAAAACCAGTTCCGCGACCTGACGACGATAGCGTTGATGGCGCTGATTGAACCTCGGCCAGTAACCATCAAACGAGACGACGATGGCAGACGGTGGCTGCGCGGCGGACACGATGGACGACGCTGATGCGATGTGCAGCTGCGGACAAAGAGAAGCGTGACGCGTTTGTCGGAGAAAGTGCCAACGTTGTGAATCTATTGGAAAGAGGGGAGGGGGGGGGGGGAGGGAAAGAGCTTTGTTAAAGGGGAGCGCCCTAAAGAAGTTTTACGAGGTTGGATCGAAATAGTTCAGAAAAATGCGGCATTAATAACTCAGGTATGGCTACCGTACCCTACAGTAACCCTCGCACTTCGCATGTATAGGAAGTTCGCTGTTGGCTGCTAATCATTCTAACTGATGAAAATAAATGACTTTGTGCGTATAGTAAATATTATGAGAGTGAGAATGTGGAAAGGACCAGTTCTCGACGATCAGTAAAATTTATGTATAAGCGAACAAAGGCATTTTTTAGCATAAATAACTGGTTGTTGCATGATTTTTGGTTACGCTGTAACTGGTTTATCTGTGAATTTAGCGCGCTTGATTACGTAAAAGCGCGTAATTCTGAACGGATTAATCGCAGAATGGGCTTCGAGCGTTGCATTCACTTTTTCGAGTCTGTCGCACTTGCTATAAAATTGCAATATGCAGCAATCAAAGGGGGCCGAAAAAGTGAATTAATTAATTCTTGATTTTTGATGAAGTAGGCAAGAAAAGTTTTCTTTTGAGTGAGCAGCTAATGCGAAAACTCTAGAAAATGCTTGCAAGTTTTCCTAAGAGATTATCCTGGAGAAAAGCGCATATCAAACGCAAAAAGTTGGTGTAGCAAAAAGTAAGTTGAGGTTTTGAAGCATAAGAGGAATGACGCACGAAATTGCTAATGGGAAAAGCGATCTTATCGAAACCTTTTGTATTTCAATGAAATGCTAGCTTTGACGCCAATGTCTTAATGCTACACATCGTCTTAAACGCAAAGCTTAAATCAACGAAAAAATTATTAGAGAAGGGGAAAGCGGATAAGTACATTGCATTGTCTATGTTTTCAAAATAAATTCATTGCACTCGTTGAGACTATCTAGACAAGCCTAAACGCAGTCAGTAGTCAAGATTATCTGATCAGCTGAAAAATAGTGAAAATTTGCTAGTCGAATTTTTTAGGGCAATAATTTTCTTCAAAAGAGTACATATGCTGTGTATTCCAAAGGCAGTTCTAAGAACATTTAATTTTCAGCGATTCTTTCCGAGTAAGGTCGCTATAAGGAAATGGAGTTAATGTGCGTAAAATGCATATGACGTATTTTATGATACCTGATAGAAGAAACTCTCTGGGAAGGGTCTATAGCAATAAGCACTCCAACGGGTGCAAGCCATGGTTCCAAAGCATCAAGATTCACTGAAAAATGAATTTACCCTAAAAGCCCCGACGTTGCGTCACCAATGACGCGA